ACGTGCAGTCAAACACTTTTATACGACCTTCCGTCTAAACATCTGTCATATGATAACGACAAATAACTCTAATTTTGACATCTCTGGCGTGCAAGAAATGACAGATACTGATTTGTTGTAAACCAAATGTATTTAAAAAGCTGAAAAGAAATGGCTTGCGTAATTACCAAGACCTTTATCAGTGACCTTAATGTCTGATAAAATCATGCCTTTGTCTTGGATTATAATAACATCAAATAAAACAATATCTTACGTTGAGAATGTTAATCCAATAAACTTTACCAAGACAAACCCTTGGAGAAATATATTTTGCCTAATATTTTAACTTGAAATACATGTTATATAAACTTTTACAGAACTTGTATATGTATTGTGTAGAATATGAAGTATTAATATTATCTTATTTAGAATTTTGGACAAAACTTATATTTTGATGAAATGTGTATTTTAGCTCCTTTTTATTTTATAGGTTTTTTTTCATTGATCTGGTGCTTCTTTTTAGAGGAAGGGTTGAATATATTTACAATGCGATATCATTAGAATATACCATTAATGTAAGAAACCATTTGATCATACACTTGCCTAAACAACATTACGTAGCCAAACGAGGTTAATGAGCGTCATATATCGCATCAAACGCCAGAATTAATTTTTACTTTAAATGCGTGTAAAGTTATTACTTTAATGAGCATATGCATGTAAATTAGTTACTGTAATAAGCATATTCACCGTATTTTCCATGGCATAGCAATTTGAAAGTAACTTCATGTCGCAAATTAATTTCATTTTGAACCTAGTTTTAAAAGGATGGGACAAATTAGAAATATCCATTTTAACGTAATGAAGGAAATCGATATTTATTTTGCAATTACCAATCGGATGAGCCGCTACATGCTGAAATTGTTTACATCGTTCAATACTATATTAGTTTCTTCAAATAGCGCGGACAGTATGCAGGTCAGAACGTTATATTGTCAGGCAAATGAAACTTAACGGTATCAATTGTAGTGAGAGAACAATATAACTAGTGGTTCTAGAATAAATCTGTCTCTAATTGGTACTTCATGGCGACTTAGTAATTACCTTTCTCACCGCGCAGAATGAACGAAATAATATGTGAACGGAAACTGCATCTGACAAAACAAGTAATTAGCTGTGTCTCATAGTAATGAGAAAATATTGTTCTTGAAAATATATTATACACAATGATATTATATTGATGTTTTAAACACAAAAAGTAAAAACTCACTGTGATGTAGCAATAAGAACAACAGTAATGTTTCATGTTTGTTCGTCTTATTTTTTTTATATGAGTTTCTATTTGAGTTATTCTACGTCATTGTGCCTCTCTGAGCAGCAAGTTACCTTGCTAGTGGTCATACATAACTGGGTTATGCCAAAGGCATTTTTTATAAGTTGTCTTGCATTGTTGATGTCACATGTTATGCATCAAATGAGTTCACTGTAACGTTTCAACACTTTTTGACAACAAAAGAAAAAAAATCGAAATCATGCGTTTCATGCAAATAAAACAAACAGTGTTTTTACATAATTTGTTTCCTTATTTTCATGCGATTCTATTAAGTATATTGTATAATTCTAATTTAAGCAATTTATTTGTTTAAAATATCTACGGAAGTTGTTAAATGACACCGTTAACTGAAAAAACAACAACATTCTTCTCGTCCGATGAAAGGTCGAAATTTGAAACAATTTGACTCTGTTTCGAGTTTAATTGATCAAAAAATCATTTAAATGTTGCTTCCGTTAAAAGACAAAGAATTAAGCAGAATTACATGCTTTAAATAGTTGTTAAAGTCAGTCGCTTTGCTTAATCATTTAGCTTTAAATGCTTAAATAACCGCCGTATGAACACATTTGCGGATGTTTCTAAATTCAAAATTTTACTAGTTCATGTTTAATATTGAATTCTGCTTAAGCCGGTGCTAGGGGGCGTGGACGGTAACTTGCCCTTTCCGGTACCGTCCATGAACAGGCTCAATCAAACCGAGCCTGCAACATTTTCAATTTTGCCGTGTTGGGCTTTCTTTAGGGATTCTGTATTTATCTATTTTAACCTTTATATGCTAATTTCAGAATAAGTGTTAAAGACTAATAGAGATTTTATTGATTTGTTTTAATTTTCAGTACAGTGTTAATTCTGAAAACAGAACACATGTAAGACTGTTCGGAGTTTGGAAGTTTCCGGCCTGGCGTCAATTGTGTCACCGTGAGGAACGTACTGCAGCATTCCAGAAATATCCGGACTTAAGGCGTTCGTGACTTTGGATGTTACACTGTAACTGATCGAACACTGTTACTGATCGGGCGAATTGTGGAAAATCTGTTACATGTAACAAGAAACTCGCGTAGTAAATAAAACTTTTTTAAATGTTTTGAGTAACAAAAACTTTAAAGAAAATAGATTGAACACTTATCGAGATATGAAATCCTAAAACTGAAAGATAAAGACTATAAAAATGTCTCTTCAGTGCACTTCAGTGTTGTTCTATTTTTCTGGTCCTTAGGGATCATTGATTTCAACACTTAAATATTCCAACACTGTTAAGTGTTCAAACCGAGTCAACTTTCATGTAATTTTGTTGTGATTAATACTTCAGAGGGATAACACTTTGTCAAGAGTATAATATAAAGTTAATGTCACGAAAATATTTAATTTGGTTAAGTGTTTGTCAAGGTATTGTTTGAATTATAATATTGTTATATCATTATTGACATTTCTGTTGTTATGAAATGTTAGTACGACAGTGTCTTAACACCAAATCATTCTCTATCTTCACTGACTTCATTTGATATTATATAACTTGCTTCAATACATCTTTTTATCAAATGCTTTTTCAGAGCTGGCAGAGCCACTTTAAAGTAACGGTTCACACCTCGAGATAACAAAAAATAACAAAATCGACTTGTATCAACAGCCGACATTAGATTGATATTTAGTTTTAATTCACACCTTATGGAATATAACAAATGAATGTTAAGCGTTTAAACCACGTGAACGTTATGTTCCAAAAGATATAATAATTTTATCCAATGTTATCAATGGAGTCATCTTTCCATTCCTACCAAATCCATACAAAATGCATATTGTACAACCTCGTTTTCATTTTCAGTGTCTGAAATATCTATATTAAATAAATTGTGAACATTATAAAGCCTTGTTTTCATTTTCAGAGTATGTGAATCAAATGATTACTGTACTCGATCTAGTATCATCATTATAAATCGTTTAAACAAATAGTCATTTTGAGATATATATAATAGAATATATAAACATATAATTGTGTTCTATTAAAAGAACCACTGGAATAGTGAATTTGATACTTATTGCATTGTTTTAAATGATTTTAAATGATTTATGAACAAAGTTGTAAGGAAAAAGATTGTAAATTCTAACCGTTACCTTGAATAATTTATTTTTATTTGTTAAGCAATATCTTATAAGCTAAGCAAAAGCGTTGATGCTTTTATACATTTGTATTGAACAATAGGTCATTCAGACTTACACTTCAGTGATGTAGTTGTATACTTTTAAAAACAAATAAATTTGATTTACAGGGTCATAATGGCATATTCTCACACTTGAAAAATAACGTATTTTCCTATCTACTTCAAAAAACAAAGCAACAGTGTTTTATCAGATTGTCTTCTGGCTTACAACTTTTATCTGTCAAAACATGGCATTTATCTGCTTGCTAAGTACAATTCTACGTCTCTTCTGCAGACAGTAATCTCTTTTGTTTTTCCATTGGTACACTTGTATCAATATATTATACAAATAAATAGTAAGACTCAAACTTATCTTTCAAATGAATTGCTTCACATAGCTTGTGTATCATGTGTACTTGAAAGGAATGTTACCAAGGAAATATTTTAACATACCTGCTGAATTCCTTGTAACTGTAGACGAATAATAACGGGGGGATTTAAAATGATGAATACTAATGTTGAGTGATTGTTTTAGTTTAAGTTTGCTCTGTAATCAGGTAACCTGTTATACGATAACTAGAAATCGTTTTCAATTACCTTACTGCCGTTGTTATTTCGGTTTTGATGTAGGTATCATGTCATAATAAGATATCAAGTTTGGTGAAATATCATTGTTCTCTGTATGCACACCTGTTCCAATAACAAATATACTAAATCTTGGCAAATATTTTTTCTTTCTACATTATAATCTAAAACGGCATTTATTAGTCTGCTACAGAGGCATGGTTGCTGTAAGTAATCATTACAAAATAAAATATTAATAGCATGTTTTGTGGCGGCGTGGACGAGTGGTAAACGCGTCGGACTAGTAGGTTCAAACCCCGTTAGGGGCAAGCCGTTGTATCCGTAAGAAAATTTACACTTACCGCTTAGTGCTGGTTGGTTCGGGTTTCGAGAGTGTTTCAATAAGCTTATAGCTTCCAACACAATCGAACTAAATTAAATTCGAATAAACAAATGGCATTGTACCTCTGCGCTTCTATGTATTGAAGTTATCAAGTCCTTGCGAAGGTGCAGGTAAACAGGCAGCATGCCAAAGAACGATGCAGTGGCTGAACTGCTCTTATAAATCTGATGTTTCTTACTGCCGTGACCCGGAGTGAAAACTACAACCATGCTGGACTTGCCAACAGTGCATATACTTTGTCTAATATGTAAACCATATTATAGAATAAATGCACCTTTCTATATAATATAAGTGTAGTTACATCTGCAGAAGCACTAAAACACATTTAATGCCCAAGCCCTTCAAGAATTCATAACGTCCATTTCCGCTATATACATAAAAAAATGCCTCCGTTTTTTCCCTATTTTAAAATTCCGATGTTCTTCCTCCTTGTAACGTCGAGTATCATGTAACTTGAAAGTGATGTTTGAATTGTTATAGTGTCATAGGGTATACATATTTATTACATTGTACTGGCAGATGTTTATTAACCTATACTTAACCTATACTTCTGTAGCAGGGTCATATTTTTGTATGACAGTATTATGAAACATGTCAGCTCTTTCCTGTGTTTTATTTCTTTAGGTTTTGATAAGTTCTTGCTGGTCTTTTATTTTCTTGTTTTCTGTGTGATCTCGCGAGAGTTTGGCGGGAATGTTGTGCAGGTTTTGAAAAGAGTTTACATGGTTGATGTAGAGAACATTCTGTTAATTTGAACTTGTTTATATGATTTACATTTGGTTGAGCTATCCAAGTGTTTGTGAGAAGTATTTAAGGTAGTTTTGTGATGGCTGAAATGATTATTTATTATTCGGTTTATTTGCAATGTTGTATTTTACAGCGCGTTGAATGTTCCAAAATGGCAGTCATTTACTTTCTCTTTCAATTCTATATTTTTATAACCAGCATGTATTATATGTTTAAATCTTGTTCACAGTTAACCATCACGTGAGACAGGATGTATGTGATGTGAAGTGATATGATTTGTCATTGGTTTATTGTGGAATAGGCTTAAGATCCCATAGATCTGTAAGTATAAGAGTATGTTGGTATTTATACCTTTTGTAATAATGTAAACATTATACATGTAATGTTTAACTGGTAAGACATAAGAGTACAAAGGCTATAATCATTTAGTGATCTTAATGTCTATAGTAATAAGATGTTTATTAAATGCTATGTTTATTGATTGTATATATTATATGTGCAAACATTGTTATTATTATGTCATTTCAGTGCCTTGATTAAAGTTGACTTCAATAGAGAACTTAGAAGATATATTGTATATTCAGTTTGACTGTATATGTAAACAATAAATGAATTACCACATCTACCCTGTGTTATAACACCATGTGTTACACTTCCAATAAACTATCCTAGATTATATCATTTTTAAATACACACACATACACACACAGAGCAAGTTATATCAGTTTTAAACGGTACTCTTACAGGGTGTCATATGCAATTGTTGGTATTTAAAACTTCTTTTCGTTGAATTCGCTTTACTTTTGCACGGGCTAATAACCAATCATAACTCCTTACGCCTTTCTCTGTCATTATTCAAAACAATAACAAAGCCATTTTGTGCTATAAAATATATATCCATTTCTGTATTTATTCATTTATATAATTACCGGTATAAATGTATTTTTATTTATTAATATATACTCTAATGAATCATGTATGTCAGTAATTGTAATATTGTGTATTTAATTAAATAATGACTTTTGTATATTCACCATAAATTGCATTTTTATATAATTACAGGATCGCAAATGTGTATTTTCAACCTAAATTTAAAGGATGGGACACATTTGTAATATCCATTCAAACTAAATAAAGGAAAGCTATCTTTATTTGCAAATACTAATATGATGAGCGGCTACATGTTTAATTTGTTTACATCGTTCAATACTATATCAGTTTCTTCCAATAACGCTGACAACATGCAGGTCAGAACGTTATATTGTCAGGCAAATGAAACTTAACGGGATCAATTGTTGTGAGAGAACAATATAACTATTGGTTCTAGAATAAATCTGTCTCTAATTGATACTTCATGACCACTCAGTAATTTCCTTTTTCACCTCGCAGAATGAACGAAATAATATGAGAACGGAAACTGCATCCGACAAAACAAGTAATTAGCTATATCTCAAAGTAATGAGACAATTTTGCTCGCGAAAGTGTTTTATACACACTGGTATTCTATTAATGTTTTAAACACAAAAAAGTCAGAATTCATGTTTTAGCAAGAAAAACAACATAAGGTTTAATGTTTATTTTTCTCATTATTTTTTTAATTGGGTTTCTATTCGAATTTTTAATGCCAATTTTTCCTTCCAAAGTCCGTTCTGAGGAGCAGCGGGGTACCTTGCCACTTGGTTTTAGTTGTCTTGCATTGTTGATCACATATGTCGTGCATCAAATGAGTTCACACTTGTATATTGAATTTTATTATTGCAACGTAATAAGACACTTCTAGACAGAAAAAGTATAAATCACAAGTGTTTTATGCATAACAAACATTACAAACAGTGTTTTGACAAAATTTGTTTTCTTCTATTAAATATATTACATAATTCTAATTTAAGCAATGTATTTGTTTATAACATCCACGGAAGCTGTTAACGTTTCGCCGTAAACGAATAAAAACATATTTAGTGTTAGCCCTTTTGTCTTCTCTGAGGAAATGTCGAAATTTGAAATATTTTGACACATTAAATGTTTACTTGATCAGAATTTCATTCAAATGTAGCTTCTGTTTGGATAAAGAATTAAAAAGAATAACACGCTTTAAACAGCTGTAATAGTCAGTCGCTTTGCTTAATTTTTAGCATTAAAGCCTTTTTGACTAGTTAAAGAATAAGTGTAAAAGACTTATATAGATTTTATTGATTTGCTTTACTTTTTCAGGACACTGAAAACCTTATACCTGTAGGACTAGCCAACGTTTGGAAGTTTCCGGTGTAGCGTCAATTTTACCAGACCCGTATGAAACGTAAGTCTTTTCGCATGCGCAATAAGTTGTCGGAAGGGACCGTGAGAGAAATACAACCTTCTGGAAGAACTAAGTGTAAACCATGTTTAAACAATTTAGAAGTTAAGAAATATATAAAAAGTACATATAAACAATAAACATCAGTCGATGTATTCAAACATAGTATGTAATATAATATATATGAAACCGATACAATTGAATGATTAGAGGATTTTTGAAAAGTTTATTCAAATTAAGTTATCATAAATAGATTACCTTTTTCATGTTTATCTGTGCTTTTTTTATGTAAAAGTACATGTATAATGTTCGTTTATCACCACTTATCCTTAAACATGTCTTTGAATAATGTACCTTATAAAATAGAGAAAATATGAATCCTTACAAAAAGTCCAAAACGTCAAATTTGAAAATGTTGCAGGCTCAGTTTGATTGAGCCCGTTCATTGACGATACTGTCACGTGCAAACTACCGTCCACGCCCCCTAGCATATAGAGTTTTGTTTTTTTAAATAAAATATAAAGCCTTGTTTTCAAATAAAGCCTTGTTTTCATTTTCAGAGTCCGAAATATGAATACCAAATGCATATTGTACTCCATCTTGTCTCGTCAATATAAATTGTTAAAAATAATACTGATTAAGAGATATATTTGTTTGCATATATAAGCATACATGTTCCATTAAAAGAACCACTGGAACAGTGATTTAATATTTGTTGCATTGTTTTATATCGAAAGTTGTAAGGAGAACAATTGTAGGCTCTGAAAATTATTTTGAGTAACTTATTTTTATTTTTGTTAAATATTATCTTATAAACTATGCATCAGCGTTGGTACCATTTTAAATTTGTTTTAACCAATACGACATTTCGTCACATTCAATGAATAGTTGTATACTTTTAAAAACAAATAGATTTTATTCACAGGGTCATACTCGCATTTTCTCACACATGAAAAATAACATATTTTCCAATTTACTTCACAAAACGAAACAACAGTGTTTTATCAGATTGTATTCTGGCGAACAACTTTTTATCTGTCAAGCCATACCATTTATCAGCTAGCTAAGTACAATTCTACGTTTTCTGCAGACAGTAATCTTTTTTGTTCTTCCATTGGGATCTTTGTATCAATATATTATACAAATAAAAAGCTAGTCTTTATCTTATCTTTGAAATGAATTCCTTCATCTTGTGTTACTTGAAAGGAATGTTACAAAGGAAATATTTTAACATACCTGCTGAATTCCTTGTAACTGTTGACAAATAATAATGGGGGGATTTAAAATGAGGAATATTAATGTTTAGTAATTGTTTTAATCGAAAACGTTTGTTTAAGTTTCCTTTGTAATCAGGTAACCTGTTATTATACGATAACTAGAAATATTTTTTTTTGCTGTAAGTAATCCTTACAAAATAAAATATTGATAGTATGTTGTACGGGCAAAAAATAATTGTTCAATTTAAAGTTGTCAAATAGTTACTTTCTGACCTTTTCTTTTAATTTCCATAGCCCCTGTTTTTCGCCCTTTTTTCCACGCCGCAACCGCCATCCACCTTGCGCGCCCGCCCTTGTCGTTTTGTTTCTCGTTGCGGCCCTTTTGGCTTTAATCTAGTAATTTATTATGTTCTTTACTTATATCCTCCCCTGCTTTCCCCACCCTTGTTCCCTATCCCGATTCGGTTCGATGCCTTTTGCTGGTATGACTGGGTTGTGTTGAGGGCTGCGATCTTTTAACCCTGCTTGCCTTGTTGATATGTATTGTCATTGTATCTTTTTATATTGGAGAAATAATATATTTATTTCTATTTAACATAAATTAAGATATTTAAACAAGATATAGTTTTGTTTGTTCCTTCATTATTTTATATATCGGATGGAAGTATTTACAACAATATAAAGAGTATTTCACTTCAATAAAAGAACAAGAATTGTCAATTGTTTACCTTTGTTTTCGCATGTCAATAGTTTACTTTTGTTTTCGCAAGTTGCCGGAAAAAAAAAACAAGTGAATATTTAGTAGATCACTTGATGTCTTGATCGAAAACAAGTCCAAAATAAAAGAAAATCTAACATTATTCCGCATAAAGTAAATAATGGAACCTCGGGAAACATGTCTTCTTTTTTTAATTTTTGATGATAATATAAAAAAAAGAGTACACATATAAAATACAAAAATGTAAGAAATCTGCAATGCTTGACTTGCTAAGGTCCATTCACTTTGCATAATATGTAAACCATTTGTGCAAGTTTAAAAACATTCGATGTCCGTCGGGAATTTTATTATGTCAGCCCTTTTCCGCTATATAAAATATACATCCGATGCTGTAATTCAGCGGGGCGTTGTTTGTTTTACATATTAAAAACCAGATTTCGTTCCCTTTCAAACGTCGAGTGCGATATTATATAAAAGTTATGATTGAATTATAATATTACCCGGACTGTTATGGTCGTCATCTTATTTACATGGCATTCTGAGTCACTCAAACAACGGCCCGTGCTCACTAGATATTAATTGTTAATGCGTTTTTCCCTGTAAATGTACTCTCTTGTGCCTTTAAATGCAAGATAATTAAGAACTAACTACGTACAAAAAACGGTTTATTATTTAACCATTAAAATATCATATGACTGAAATAATTTTATTATTATTTTTATTTGAAGTGATAAACGCATCTTTTTTTTAAAACTAGTATCACCAATGTATTTTCAAAACAAAATGTTGAGCTAATCCCTTTTTTCATGATTTTAAGTGTAGTCTTATTTTATACACTAACTCAACGATCCTTAATAGGAAAAAAATGTTGTGTTACAATTGACACTCTAAAGCTTTTAAAGTTTAGTTTATCAGATGCTAACTAAGATATAGATTTTAATCCTCCCGGACGATGATAATTGAATTTTACATTATGATGTACTATCAAGATCTAAAACAACTTTAACATTGGATATACTCTTGGGTTACATTATTCATTTACTTATAATCCTTTCAATACAGATATACCATTTAATATGAGCATATAATCTACTTCTCTGATATCATGTTAAGTTAAAATTGGCAATATAAACTACATAACATTTCAAAATTAGTTAATTTATTAAAAAATTTTGTATACAATATTCTGTCAAAGTTAACAAACCACTATGCGATAGCACAAAACTTACTGCTCTTAAAGAGAGTACAGCTGTGAGTTGCTACATAATACCCAAAATTGTTTATTGATTTTCACATTCTGATGATCTACACCAGATATAATGTTACCGAAAAGAATGTTTCTCTCATTTTATGCAAACACAGAATAAACATTACAACTTTCAATGCTATTTCAGAAGATTTAGTGGTTATTACCGCCCGTATTA